ATTTCTTAAGACAGAATTTCATGAATGTTTTATGGTTTTGAATCTCTTTTGTTATTTTGGATTGTACTTTAGTTGCGTTTATGGTTTTGAGTTCGTTGTTGGATATTGTCTTTATTCTGTGATTATGCATTTATTTGGTTGCTTTTTTGGTTAAATTTTGTGATAAATTTATAGTGTGAGTTTGGTTTGTACATGTATGAGTTTGGTATAAATTTAGGTATAAATTGGGTTTTATAATTATTGAAAAATTATACTAAATGCTTGTATATGATCGATTGGATTTCTTTCAAAGTTGCAGGTTGGTATACATACCAATGTGTTTACCCCGTTTTGTGTTTTTTTCTTTCATATGTAAACCAATTTTTTTTTTAACAGCGTGTTTTTTTTTTTATGATTTCAGTGTTAACCAAGATTGTAGTCATAAGCCATTTATTGAAATATCAAAATATTTTACCAAAATTTTAACCATTTAATGATCTTAAAAAAAAACAGTCAAAGAAATACCAAAGTATTTACCAATATTTTACCCATTTAATAAACTTAAAAAAAAACAGTCAAAAGATTACATACCCTTAAACCAATTTTTAAAATTTAGGATTTTATCAGGTTACTTAAATAAATGTAGGAACTATTTTTCATATTATTATTTATACCAATTCACATGCTTAAAATACACTAAAATATGTACAATATTTTTATTTATGAGGTTCTAATTATATACCATAGATCGTCAAACTTGTAGTTTTTTACACCACCAATTACACCAAATAATTTATTGCTGCAGTCATTTTAATATACGTATGTTCATATTTAAGATTTATTACTGCAGTCATTTTAATATACGTATGTTCATATGTAAGATAATATACCATCATCATTATGACATTTGGTTGTTATATATACCATCATTTATACCAAGTTTTGTACCAGTTGTAACCAAAGTAAACCAATTTTACAGTAATTGAGTGTTAATTATTGTAGCGTCCAAACTAATATACTAACATCTAATACTTTTCAATTTATTGTTTTAGGTTGGTGTATACTCCAAACATTTGTTTTACTATATACATCATTATTATGATCCTTTATTTTTACCATAAATTTGTGCCTATTTACCATAATTTCACCAAGAATTTGGCTTATTTACCATATCAAATCAACAGCAGAATATCATCCAATAAGTTCATTTTTTATCAATATTTCTGGATATGTGACAACACGTAATCCAAAAGTGTTCATGATATCTATTATATACAACCATTTTTAACAACTATGAATTCAAAAATATGAATAAGATAACTCAGAGAAAGGGAGTTTTATTTTGGTAGGAAACCTCTATTTATGGGAGATAATATATAGCATATTTGAATAAATTAGAGAAGATAAATTATTGGAGAAATTTATGGAAATCGGGATAAGCATGGCTGATTTGGAATTTTTTTATTTTTTTAAAATTTAAATTCTACTTTTGAAAAAAAAAGTATTGCTATATAATTGGAAAAAAAAATATTGCTATGTTGGTGTAAATACAGTTGTTAAGTTGTATAGTTAAAAAATCGGTCCGCCTAAATAGCAAATTCGAATCTTTTAGACGTTATTTTGATACATTTTTTGGTTCTCCATTTTGAATACATTAAAAAAAAAAACTCATAAAGAAAATGTTATAATATTTTTTATTTTTTAAAAGAGTAAAATAATATATGTGAATTATGTTTTGCTTTTATATTTTTTTTAATTGTTTCACATTTAAATAGGTGACTCCGCTTGGAGCGTGGTGAACTGGTGATGTATGGCAGTAGCAAATGCATGTACCTTGTGACTAGTTAGGCAGCTGATCAGTTGTTTTGTTTAATTTATTGAAATGTGATGGGTGATTTTGGCTTCAAATTATATTGACACGTTTGCTAACTGGCCGGAATATCATCTAAATTTTGTGCGTGAAATGAAAAAAAAAAATTGAGTGAATATTCTATTATAAACTAAAGAAAAGTCTTTTTCATTCAACAATTTCTATTAACTTTGTTATTTGTTATATGCAGAACATGTTAAAATATGAAACCTTGCATACAAAAGCATAAAAGAGATGTTTAAAAACTCCCAAAACGGAACTATGGTTATATTTGGAAAGAAATAAATATATATTACTCTCTCTGTTTCATTTTATGTGAGGTAGTTTGACTAGGTACGGAGTTTAAGAAAAAAAAAAAAACTTTAAAACTTGTGGTCCAAAATAAATGATAGAAATTTGTGTCGCTGTAAATCATTTCATTAAGGGTAAAATAGACGTTTTATAGTTAAATTGTTACTTAATATAGAAATATGTTATTCTTTTTTAGACTGACTAAAAATGAAAGTAAGTCACATAATTGGGACAGAGGGAGTAATATTTTAATTTAATCTCAGCTGGTATCTATGTCATCCAACGCTAGAATTTAGATGTATATAAATAAACAGTTAATTTTGTATAGAGTTGAATAAGTTGACACATTACGTCCTACGTGATATTCTTCAATGTCTTATGCCACATAAAATGTGTATGTCTCCTTTTACTCATTTTTATAGGGGAATAGGGTCAAAAATGCCCTTAAACTATGTGAAAGGAACAAAAATACCCTCCGTTTATAGTTTGGCTCAAAAATGCCTTTACCGTCAATACTTTGGTTCAAAAATGCCCCCGTTTGTAGTTTGGTCCAAAAATGCCCTTATAGTTACAAAATGGGTCAAAAATGCCCTCCGAATAAATTTTTTTTTTCTTTTTAAACACATCTTCTTCCTAATTAAAATATTATTAAAGAACACTATTCTTGTTTTCTTTCTTCTAAAATCACTTTAACAAATAAAAATGTAGGAATTTTTTTTTCTTCTTCTTAATCTCATTTTATCAATTAAAATGGAATAATTTCATGTACTCTTTCGATAGATAATATATGTCATATGTATAAGATCATATTATATCCATCATTAATTTATATTTATATAACGATAAAAAAATAATGATAATAAAATAAGAAATATTATCATTTTTTTTAACTGAAGTAAGATAAACATTTGTTAATTTAAAAAAATATTATTAGAAAAAGAATATGTTAAAAAAGAAAATAATAATATATTTATTTGGAAAATGAGCATTTTTGACCCATTAAATAACAATAAAAGCATTTTTAGACCAAAGTGTTGACGTCAAGGGCATTTTTGGACCAAACTACAAATGGAAGGCATTTTTGTTTCTTTCGCATAGTTTAAGGGGATTTCTTATCTAAAGTATTGACGGAAAGGACATTTTTGAGCCAAAATATAAACGGAGGGCATATTTATTCCTCTCACATAGTTTAAGAACAGTTTTTACCCTTTTCCCTTTTTATAGTTTACCCACCAACTTGAAACAAACGTCATTTTCAGAAATTGCTGAAGATGATTTTAATTTAGTAAAGCTTAACCACACAAACTAAAGGAGAATTATTTCAAACTAAACAAGAAGTTTCCTTTTACCCTTTATAAAAAGATTTATAATCATATAAATATTTAAGATTTGTTTTATACCATAAATTTTAAAAGTTTTCATTTTTTATAGACTTTGTGTCAAGTCAAATAGAGTCACATAAATTGAGATGGAGAAAATATGAATTTATTAAAAACATATTATCACTGGAAATTCTATTGTTGCTATAAAATATAAATAATCAATTTTGTTTAAAGAAAAATTAACACATAATTCACTACATTTTTTTTTTGTCCTTTACTTTTTATACTACAAAAAGTTTACTTTCAAAAACATCAGATGAGGTCATTGAAAATAGATACCAAAATCACAAGGAGAAAAGGGTCTAAAACATAGTGAACTAAATATTCCATTAGATTTGTTGAAAAATAATATTAATATCTTGAAAATATAATTATCTTTTTCGTTAACTTGCTACATTTAATTTGCCTTGATGACATTTATTATGACAATTTTTGTATGGTTGTCAGGCGTTCTCTTTTCGAATAATTGAACGTCTCATATTATTTGCTAATGAAAAATATCACGAGTAGGACCCAAAAAGATAGTAGTACCAGATAACAAACAAAAAAATACAGTCTAAAAATAAGTATAGAATAGCTTGAACTTTTGAGCCGTTGTATAAAACACCCAGAAAGGGAGACAGGGGAGTCACTGGTCCACTTATTACATGTAGTAAAATTATTAGTTATGTACTAGCAATACTGGAAGTATTATTTCATGGCATATATTGGTGACTAAGATAAGTGATAAGCATAATAAATAATTTATAAGTAGGTGGATTCGAGTCATCAAGGAGCTCCCGGGGAGGAATGAAAAAACTCTTAATAATAACTAGAACATGTAGTGGCCACTGCTAGCATAGGTGATATCCTACGAATAGTGATGCCACTGCCTTCCGTCATAACCAAATCCTCCGGTTTTAACCCTTCTGGTAATGCTAAATTGAACTTGTGCACAATCCTTGCTAATGCTAGCTCAATTACCACAATAGCAAAACCAGTTCCTGGGCAGCCCCTTCTGCCTGCTCCAAACGGAATCAACTCAAAGTTTAATCCTTTCACATCAATATTACTATTTAAAAACCTCTCTGGTCGGTACTCCTCTGGATTTTCCCATGATAAAGGATCTCTTCCGATTGACCAAGCATTGATAATGACTCCAGTTTTAGCAGGAATTTGATAGCCAAGTAATTTTATGTCTTCTATTGATTCTCGAGGAACTAGTAGTGGAATTGGTGGATGAAGCCTGAGACTCTCTTTGATCACTGCTTTCAGATACTGCATATTTCCTAAGTCATCCTCTGTTACCTCTGCTTTCCCTTGGGCTAATCCTCTCACTTCATTCTGTAATTTTTCCATGACTCATGGATACCTCAAAAGCTCTGTCATTACCCACTCTAAAGCTGTATACGTTGTATCTGTACCACCAGAAAATATATCCTACGCATAATATTAAAAAATATAAGATTGTTATCCTGGAGAATGTGTAAATGATTATGTGGAAGAATAACAATATTCTAAGTAACCAAATATTTAATTATGAAACAATATGTTAGTAAGTAGCAAGCAGGAATTATGTTCAAAATTACAGTACTAATAAAACACGCCAAGGAGGGGATAAATAGTGTGACAGATGCTAAATCTTACCAAGATGATAGCTTTCAATGAATCCCTTTGAAGAGGAAAGCCAGTTTCCTTTCCATTCTGAACTTCCAGCAAAACATCCACGAAATCTTTAGCTTCACCCGTACTGTATTCTCCTTTATTGTTCTTAATAATGTGTTCTTCGATCACACACTCTAAAAATGTATCCAAACTTTTAGCTACTTTCTCCACTTTGGTGTCTAGACCAGTTAATTTATTGACCCATTCAAGCCGCGGAATATAATCCCCAATATTAAAAGTGCCAAAAAGTTCAGCTAATTCATCTAGAGTGACCTTAGCATTCATTCCACTTTCTCCTTCATCATATTTCCTCCCCAAGGCCACTCTGCTAATTATGTTACAAGTCAGAAAACAAAAATGATCTCTTAAATCTATCATTGAACTCGAAGAACCACACTCTTGTCTGATTTTGTCAATCATATTCGATGTTTCTTCTTGTCTTATATCACGATAAGATTGGACTCTTCTGTTGCTGAGAAGGTGAAGCACAACAATGCTTTTAATTTGTCTCCAGTATTCACCATAGGGACTAAAGCCCACGTCCCTAGAGCCATAAAAGAGTCTATCAGCCAAACTAGATTTGGGTCTGCTTGAGCATACGAGATCATGAGTTTTCATGATCTCACGAGCAGCTTCGACAGAGGAAGCAACGAGCACAGGCTTACTGCCTAAGTGAAGTAGCATGAGAGGACCATATTTTTTGGATAGTTTATGGAGGGAACGGTGAGGAAGTGATCCAAGTTGATGGAGATTTCCTATGATTGGAAGCTTTGTTGGAGATGGTGGTAACTTTTTTTGATTACTTGAAGTAGTAAAGAAGCATTGATGAATGAAGAAAAACAGAGGAATTACAAGAGAATACCAAGGAAGATCCATTTTCCTTTTTTGGTGATGAGAAAATTGATCAAAATTCGGAAACAAGTACGCCCTACTTATTGATGAGTATGCGTCCAAAGAATCTTCAATCACCACACAAACTAAAATGGAAACAACAAGCACGGATTAATATCTAGAAATTATCTAATAAAATCATTGAATTTTATTTATATCTAAAATTACTCAATTTAAAGGTTTTATCTTCAAAAGTTACTCAACTCATTTATCATTAAAATATATTTAATATAAAAAAATAAAATATTTTTTTATGTCATGTAATTATGAACCCTATAAATAAAAAAATAAAATTATAGAATTTATTTATTAGTATACCCTACTAACCCACAAATTGGGTCAAGTGAAATAATAAATAGATTTTATAATTTTATTTATTTATAAGGTTCATGATTTTGTTTTTGGACGAATTTATAACATTAGACAGGTCTAATGGTCTTTTATTAATAATAAAATAAAATCATCAATGTGAATAAGTACAAGCAAGGGGGGCTAGACCTTACCTTACAAATCATAATGAGGTAACAAACATTTATTAATTAACAAGAGTGAAGAAAATAAGAGGAAGAGAAAACTAGGTATTATATGATCATCATAGAGTTTATAATACAGTTTATGATGATATTACAAATGAGGATGCTTAAATAAGTAATAATATAAACATCAAGAAGAAGATTGAGTTATCAAACTCAAACTTCCTTTTATATATGTATGAACTAAAAAGATAGTTTGCCCGTCTAAAATAACCTGAAGTATTTTTTGCTCGTCTTTTTCTTCAAATCTATCGAATAGAACTTGATAGTTCATCACTTCCTCTTAGATTTATTGGATCTTGTTGAAGTTGGTGACACTGTCATATATTTATGTTTGGCCAGTCGCATCGGTAGGTGCCTTCCATATGTCTTCCTTTTGTTTTTATTGCTTCCACTTCTTTGTAGTTTAGGTGAAAGATCGCTATCTCTAGCTACTCCCTTAGTCCCTTTTTATATGACATCTCTTTCTATAAATAGTTGTACCACAATACTTGTCATTTTATAAAATTTAGGCATAAATTACCATATTTTTCCTATTATACTCTTGATAGAGTAGTTAATTAATCTTGAAAATGTATTCATCATTTATTATAAAGTTGACTTAAAAAAACATTAAATAAAGGGTAGAAGGGTAAAGTTACAGCATTTCTTAATGGAAGTGCAAAGTAAAAATGTGACATATAAAAAGGGACGGATGGAGTACTTTATCAAAGTAGGGTTCATGATTACATGCATAAAAAATATTTTATTTTGTCATGTCAAATTATTTTAATGATAAATGCAGTTGAGTGATTATTAAAATAAAACCTTTAAGTTAAATGAATTTATTAATATAAAATAAAGTACAATGACTTTGTTATAATTTCTCATAGTTCAATGACCTTTTAAGATATTAACCTCATGAAACACAACTATTTGTTTAATTAGGCATGTTTAGATATAATTTGAAATAGATTGATTTAAAATTAAAATATTGTTTTAACATGCCATTTTAATTTTTCTCAAGTATATTTTTGCTAGTAAACATGAAAAAACGCACAATTTCTTTGATATCTTGAATTGATTGGCGAGGAATTAATGGTATTGCTGGACCGAGATTTTGTGATCTCTTAATCCTTCGCTCATTGACTTTTGTGGAAAATGAGACTTTTGTTACCAAAGTTGGTAAATACTTTTAAAATGAGTTTAATGGATTTACATACAAAAATCTCCAACTAATTAGTGTTAGCCTACAAGCAAATAATACTGAGAAGGAAATTATTAAAAAGTCAACGAAAGAAGAAAATGAAGAAAAAAAGCACAGGAAGTAGAATGGAGGAGAGAAATCTAGAATTGGGTATATTTGAAAAGGCATAATACATATAGGTAGGGCTGGGCGTTCGGTCGGTTCGGTTTGTATATTTCGATTCTGTTTTTTTGGTTTTCGGTTTGGCAAAAATTTGAAATCAAATCAAATTGAAATAAATTCAGTTCGATTCGATTTATTTCAGTTTAACCAAATTTAATTAACAGTGGCAAAAATTAAAGAATGATAATTTATTTATACTTATCAAGGATGGATAGTAGTCATTAATTTACCGTAAGCCTCATTAGAATCAAATGCTTTGATGTCCTCTACATACAAATGCACCGGAAAATAGCCATTACAGATGTTATAAGATGATAGACATTAGACACTCTGACTCAACACTACTTCATGAATACTTATTTAACACAAATGTCAAAAGAGTTGCCTATAAATAACTTAATTACAGAAAGACGCAGTACATTACAGTTCACAAATCACACAAATAATCACATAGTTGCATACTTGCATTCAATGACTAAAAAAGGACGCAATACATGTCTTTCATATTCTTTCCATGGGTTTTCATCAGATTTTGCTCTTAATGTGTAACTA